AAACCCAGGATAAGATCTCGCTGCAACCAAATGAGCAGGAATAGATCATTCCTGATGAAAACTGAATGTGCTATATATCAAGAATCCCAGGCATTAAACAGTCCTATTTGAAAGCTAGAATTGTCAGAAAATACTCAACTTTACAGGGCCAATTGGTTCAAAACCAACAGTGATAGCCAAAGTTCAACCAGCCTAGAGGGTGTTCGACAAAACTTGCCAGCAAGGTAAACAGAAGGGTTAATGTTAAATTCTCACTTACTCTTTGACCTTTCAAAATAGGAATCCTGGGGAATGCTGCATGGTTCTAACTTCCCATTAGAACACTGAGCCGGCAAAACTAAGTAAGACGTGATCTCTACCTTCAAGGAATGTATAGTCTAGTAAAGGAGAAAAGTTAAGGGTTGATAAGGAGGAAGAACGTTTACAAATGTGATCTGTGCCATAAGACAGACACAGTATTGTGATGTGGTGAAGAGGGGACTCTGGACTCAGACTGCCTGGGTTTGAACCAGCTTGGTCACCTATGAGCCACACGAAGTTGTACAAGTTTAATTAATTTTCCTCTACCTCTGTTTCCCCCATCCATAAAATGGGACAATAGTATCCCCCCTCCCCCAAGGGGAATCCAGGGAGCAGTAAGACTTGGTGTGAGTCATTTTGAGGTCTTCCTTTTGGGGCTGCATTTTGCTGCAATGGTGTTTGTGTGCTTAAGAGCATTCGTAAGTCGTAGGCCTTGCTGTCCCATTCATGGGCAATTAGCCTATGCAGAAGTCCGAAGACCTAGCATCTGCTTCCAGCCCTTCATAAACCCTCACAATCATTTCTCTTCCTGGTGCCTTAGGTTTCTTCTCCAGTTAAATGAGCATAGGAAATTCCATGACAGCAGGGACCTTATCTTATCCAACATCTAGAACAGTGCCTGGCTCATAGTAGGTTCTGGGTAAATGTGGGTGCAGCTCAACTCAGGGAAATTAAGAATATGTTTGTATAACAATGTGAATGTAATTTTGAGAAGGAATCATAGGTACAACACAAAAATGACTGGCTTTCCGTGTTTAAGATTCCTAAGAGAGACAAGAGATAAGAAATGATCTCTACTACATTTCTCTGCCAGGATCTAAGCACCAGATTTGGAATCAGACAATCTTGCCTCGAGTTGTGCTTCTACAACTTAAGGCTTTGTAACTGTAGATAAATCATTTAACCTCTTTGAGCTTCATTTCTTCATTGGTCTTTTTGGGCGACCACCTATGCTTTTGAGTGTTCTTTAGAGCTCCAAAGATCAAGGAAATAAAAGCACTCGAGAACTAGCAAATACTACACAAGTACAAACATACTAGGAAATGGGAGCTTTTCATGCTCTACATCAGAGGAGGGTAAATCATAAAAAGCAACACCTGTTGCCCGAGTGTAAGGCAGTGAAGATAAACCTGTATGGTCCCTGAGACACAGTTGATCTTCTTTAAAATACAGTGGGGCGGGGGTGGGGGTGGGGGGTGGGAATGGCCCATTCCCTGTCTTTTATACACAGCCAGACGAGCAGAGTGACTCGAGGGAACTACTCTACCTCCACACGGCACACCAGCTCCCTTTAGCTGCCGCACCTTGCCTCTGTGCCAACTCCAGAAACAGTTCCAAGTTTGAAGGAAGACATGTGCTGGCTACGGACTGTTTTGAAGAATTGGCCAGGATCCCATCAGAGGTTGCAGGCCAATTTCAAAAAAGAAGAAAATTATTTCCCCCTTTGCCCCATCTATCATAAAATGTATGGCCAGAGTCCAGTTCCTGGTTGCATTTTTCTTTTCCAAAAGTTCAAAATTCAAATTTATTATTCATTATCTATTTCTGTACTTCATGGACCTCTATAAGGAAAATATTTCTCCAGATCCCCTCACTGTTTATGTTCTAAGCAAATCATTTATATAATTATATATGATTATATATATATATGCATACATATATATGTATTCCTTTTTGGTTATTTTTCTTTCACATGTGTTCAGACAGCCTATATAATTTAGTTGTAGGATTAAATTTGAATATATTTTTAAATATAAGCTTACAAACTTGCAGAATGTTCTCTTTTAAGGTATTTTCCATACTACACTAAGTCAACTACAGTATGGAAACTAACTTACTCTTGAAATTCCATCTAGGAACACTACATAGAATTTGTGTTTAAGGAGAATCTAAAAATGAAAGCTTAGGGTAGCCAGTTCTATCACTCATGAAGGCTTTTTTAAGGGGAAGGTTGTAATGTTTATTTAGACTCTTATTAATATGAGTGTCATTGATATGTTATTCACATACTATCCAATTCACCCATTTAAAGTGTAAAATTTAGTGAATGGGTTGTAGTGTATTAAAAAAATTATGCAAGTATCACCTCTAATTCCAGAATAGTTTCATCACTCCATTTTCTCTCCCCAAAGTCCTCACAACCACTGATTTGCTTTCTGACTCTGGATTTGCCTAGTGTGGATATATCATATAAATGGAACCATATAATATGTGGCCTTGGTGACTGGCTTCTTCCACTTAGCATAATGTGTTCAAGGTCCATCCATGTTGTAGCATGTGGCAGTACTTTGTTTCTTTTCTTTTTCTTTGTTTCTTTTAATGAGGGACTAATATTCATTTTGTGGGTGTGTCACATTTTGCATATTCATTCATCTGTTAGTGGACACTTAGGTTGTTTCTACCTCTTGACTATCATGAATAGTGCTGCTATGAACGTGCATGTATAAATAGCTCTTTGAGACCCTGCTTTCAATTGCTAGGGGTATATACCTGGGTATTGTGCTAGGTCATATGGTAACTGTTTAACATTTTGAGGAACTGTCAGGCTGTTTGCCACAGCAGCTGCACTATTTTACATTTCCATCAGCAATGATGTTTCCAATTTTTCCAACTTTTCTGGTTTTTACTATAGCCATCCCAATGCATGCAAAGTGGTATCACATCGTGGTTTTCATTTACATTGCCCCATCTGGCTATTTTTTAAAAATATATATTGTAAATATTTTCCTAGAGATCATTCGCCTGACAACCTTAACTCTCTAGAACGTGATCCTGCATGGAACATATTGCAAAAGGGCCCCCAAACCAGTAAGAGCAGTCAGACTTTCTGCACGAAAGCCTCGCACTTTGCCCCCTAGGCTCATCATTCAGTGCGTAACTAATATTCACTCTTACTCAACATTCATGATTGGCTGTTATGTTTTCCAGAAGGGAGCCAGACAATCTACTATGGCAGGTATTATGTCAGGAAGAGAAATGACAGTACAAGTGACAAATAACAATCTATCACCAAAGGAGGGAAACTATAATAATTTCTAGGATGTTTATGACACCACGTCATCAACTAGAGGTCATATTATGCTCAGTATTTTGTAAGAAAGCAAAGCTACATATAATACATTTTAGAAGGGTTTCCATGAAGAATGACTCAGAGAAACCCATGTGTGAATGGATAAGCTTGCCTGAGTTTTCTAGATATTTAATTTCCTGGAGATATCTAAAAAGATGATATTGAGTTTCATCTTGAATGTGGAAAGACAAATGGAAGATTCAGATTCTGTAAAGTTGTTAAAAATCACATTCAAAAAATTAAGTGAAATGTTTTCAAGAGGGGATCCCTGGGTGGCTCAGCGGTTTAGTGCCTGCGTTTGGCCCAGGGCGTGATCCTGGAGTCCCGGGAGCGAGTTCCATGTCGGGCCCCCGGCATGGAGCCTGCTTCTCCCTCCTCCTGTGTCTCTGCCTCTTTCTCTCTTTATGTCTATCATAAATAAATAAATAAATATTTTTTAAAAAGAAATGTTTTCAAGAACTTGAATTCTACTTTCATGATGAAGTTGACCATTGGTTAATTTGACTGATACTCTAAACTTACTTTTATCTTAGAAAGTCCTCATTATTTCAGTATGTGTCCATGACATCATGGTAATAAATTAACCTTTTATCTATTCTCTCAGCTGAGTTGCTAAAAATTGTTGCTGGTTGACACTGGGTTAACCTGCAAATCCTAAAGCTACAAAGTATTTAATGTATGACTGAACAGTACTTTCTGTTCCATGTTTTTGTAAATGCTGAAACCTCCCTCAGAAGACCTTTACAGAGACTAAGAACTAATAGGGCAAACACAGGGGGGAAAAACCAGTATCTTTTCAGAGGATTTTTTCTTTATCTGAAGCCCTTTTACATTTTACTTCCTCTCTCCTACCTCACTTGCAGTGGGTGTCCGGCAGGTTACATCACAACCATTTTATGTGATCATCAACAACTACATTTCAAATACACACACAGAGTGACCTTTAAGAGCAACTTAAACTTTCTTAGTGATTCCTGGTCTGGATTTTGAGAGCAGATAAGAAAGCCTATCAGACCATAGTAAAGCCAGTTTAATGACAGGTCTTTGGTAGCCTCTAGAAACTGAGGGGCTGTCCTGTCCAGCTCTGGCATTTTTTGTGCAGTGAACCCCTAAATGAATTTCTGCCCCCAAAAAGAATGAAACCATCATCTCTCCTTTTTAATTGGGCTTGTATTTTTTTTTTAAGATTGATTTATTTATTTTAGAGAGAGAGAGCACAAGCAAGTGAGCAAGAGGAGGGGCAGAGGATAAGGAAGAAAGAATACTTGAGCAGACTCCCCGCTGAGTGCAGAGACCCACGTGGGACTGGACATGGGGCTGGATGCAGGGTTTGATTCCAGGACCATGACCTGAGCCAAAACCAAGAACCACTTAACCAACTGAACCACCCCAATACCCCAGTTAGGCTTGTATTTCAACAGTAAATCTATGTGGCTGCCTCCTTTTACTCTACGCTGAGAAATGGTTTTTTTTTTTTTTATTGACAGTGGCCAACGGTACTGCATTACACTGTCAATATCTAGGTGCTTCCTGTTTTTAAATAGGATATGGTACTTCTTTTCCAAATATAGAGTTTAAAACAGAAGTTTTGTATTAGATTAGCTAATTTTATTTTATTTTTTTCTTGCAGGTTTCTGAAAAGTGCCTTTTCTGAAAACTGCTGCTTGGATTCCACTCTTGAGCTGTCTCTTTATAAACCTTACCCAACCCCCAAATCTGGTGCGCTTGTAATTCAGTCTCAGCAACTTGTCCATTCTTTTTTTCCTTTGATTCCCAGTTTTCATAGTCATTTTCCCTCCTCCTATTTAGCAGTAATTTTTTTTACACTTGTAACATCCTTACCAATCTTAATCCTTAAATCCAAGAAATAGGGAGAAGGACATTTCTTCCCTTGATCTGAGACCATTCCATAAATTGAAGGGTAACCAGCAGCATATGCTTTTTGCAAGAATAATTGAAAACATCAACTGGGGAGTACAGAATTCTTTTGAAAGCCTGCCAGTTATTTGAAGTAACTTCAGCAAAGGAAAAAATTAAACAAGCAATATCTTAACCTTTCTGGTTGCCTTGTTAGGAGTTGGTCTCTAATTTAATTTTCAGTTATTTTGATACAGTTTTTGGTTTGTGATTGGCTTTTTGTTTGACAAGACCAAATTTTGGCTAAAACAAAAACCTAAGTGCTAACAAAGAAGCGTTTCACCAAAGCAACCTTACCGCTTCACATATAGCTTGAATTCACTCTTACCTTTTAACAGTAGTGAAACTGTCCTAGAGAGGGTGCACTTGATTCTAACTTTGCTTTCAATATGACGGCTGTCAATGTCACCCTGGTTCGTGACACCAAGTGGCTGACTTTAGAAGTCTGCAGAGAATTTCAGAGAGGAACCTGCTCTCGAGCTGATGCAGATTGCAAGTTTGCCCATCCGCCAAGAGTCTGCCACGTGGAAAATGGCCGTGTGGTGGCGTGTTTTGATTCTTTAAAGGTGAGTTTCATCTACATACACATAATATTTCATTTAAACTTGCTAATGTCTATGTGTACTGAAATATGATGTGCTTTGAAATGAGGAAAGTTAATAATAGCATGGAAGTGGTAGGTTTTTTTTTTTTTAAGACAGGAAGTAGACTCTGTGTTTGTAGGACTACATCGGACTATAGCTCATCTCATCAAAGCCCACTGATTAAGACAGACTTAAATGAAAAGAAACTAAAGAATTTTTGTAGGAGTGAGATGTTGCAGCCTTGCCATACTTCTTTGCATTTGATCTAAATTTTGAATACAGTGATCATAATTCTTGTAGAGCCTAAAGAAGCCCTTTACTGAATTATAACCCTACTAACTGTGTTATCAACATACACTTGGCAGGGACCAGTCAGCTTTCAGAGGACAAGTAAAATCAGACTGAAAGATTATAAGGTGAAAAAATCTCATCATCTCATCATCCAGGAAGATAATATCTTTTAAAGTTTATTTATTTTAGTCATCTCTACACCCAACGGGGCTCGAACTCACAGCTGATCAAGAGTCATCCACTCTTCCGAGTGAGTTGGCCAGGTGCCCCAAATACCGGGCAGTTTTATTTTTTATTTGTATTATTTGTTTGAGTAAGCTCTAGGCCTACCATGGGTCTTGAACTCACAACCCCAAGATGAAGAGTCTCACAGTCTATAGACTGAGCTGGCCAAGGCCCCCTAGCATTTTGAACTTTCTTAGTCAAAGTATATTTTGAACCTTTAACTTAAACATTGCTGCCAAACTAGGATCACTTAATTTTCTTCCAGAACTGATGATTAACGAAGCTTAGATCTGTGAGTACATTTTATAAGCAAAGTCCTATTGCCAAGGTCATCAAACCCAAATATTATGTACTAGAGTATAACCAAAATACAAGAGCAAATGAGATATTATGTAGAATAGAACATATGTGATTGCAGAACAAGAAAATGCACTGACTTTCATGTTTTATTCATAGTTATCTTTAAATTAAGGATAAAGATGTATAAATTAAAGCATAGAAGTAAAAAAATGATAATAGATTCTTGGTTTAATAAGATTTGCTATGATGCATTTGCAAATTTTTTTAAATACGTCAAAATGAATTAAGCTTAATAAGAACCTTTTTAATTTCTTGATATTGTTTTAGCCTCATCATGACCAATTTTACCTCATTAACATTTTTATTTATGGCTGCATTGGTTGACAGAGACATATTCCTTTGTGTGATCATTTCTTCAGAAAACATTTTATCAAATGACACCTTACATAGTTACTTTTTAAAAAAAGATTTTATTTATTTATTCATGAGAGACACAGAGAAAGAGAGAGAGACAGAGACACAGGCAGAGGAAGAAGCAGGCTCCATGCACAAAGCATGATGTGGGACTCGATCCCAGGACTCCAGGATCACGCCCTGGGCCAAAGGCAGGTCCCTAAACTGCTGAGGCACCCAGGGATCCCACATAGTTAGTTACTTTACCTTCTTTCGTGGTTACTAGTTTTTGTTGCAGACCCTCCCAAGTCAAGAATGGAAACTTGTTATTGTAAAAACAAACAAACAAACAAAACCAAAAAACCAGTAATCCTTACCATTGAAAATGTCTGAATTGCTCTTATTTGCAGGAGATATTATCATTAAAGGGCTTATTCTCTACATTTCACTATCATTCAAGTTTCATCTACAATTATTTTGTATGTTATTGAAATTTCCTGCTGTGTTGCCGAGAAATGCCTTGAAGCAGAGAAGAGCACTGGTCTAGTCTCAGGGAAAACAGGAGATATCTTTCATCCAGTCTATCTAGAGGGTCTGGGACAGCACAAGGCACTGTGCATATGTTGTTTCAGGGGACCTGGGGTAGAGTCCCAGCCTTGCTACTGTGTCTGACCTTAGCTACTTACTCTGATAAGGCTTACATTACTCTATCTCAACCTAACTTCCAGGATGACTATGGAAGGTCCATGAGATTATGTAAACGAAAACTTGTGTATTGCTCTAAGAGTGAATTAAATGGAAGATTATTTTCTCACAATGTTTGTCCTAGGAGTTCTTTAAAACAGCTCTATTTAACTAGGGTTTATTGTTTAAAACTCCAAACTCATGTTTCAAATGGACATGCCCAAGGGGCACCTGTGGCTCAGTCAGTTAAGCATTTGCTTTCAGTTTGGGTCATGATCCTAGAGTCCAAATGGACATGCCCAAATCCAGTTGCCATGAGTGTCATATTAGTTCTTCAAGCTGGGTATCACTGTTTTTATAGTTTACTCTTTGATAGAGTTCCTTGCAGGCTTTGTAAATTCTATCTTTCTAGACATCTGGTGGAAGGAGATGTGTGATCTTCCTAATCATTGGTATACTTCAGGTCTGTTCTCCTACTTGGAGTGCCATAAAGGAAACGTTTTGAAGCAAATAAGCAAAGCAATTGTTAACAAAACACTACTGCGCTACCACTTTAAAGCTTGGAAAATGTTTGATTCTGAGATGACATGGATAATGGCCAATGAATATTAATAAGCCACTTAATTATTTAAATACACTGTCTACTCACTATATCCAGTGGTGTTAAAATAATTTTTGCATTATGTTAATATCTTGATGACCAATCACACAGGATAAAGACGATTTCTATAATCTTCACATTTTCATATTTTAATGAAAATTTTAATATTTCAAATACCCAAAGCCTTTCAAACAATTAATTAGTTTGCCATTTAGATAGCACATTCGTCACAGTTCCATGTCCACACAAAAGCTTTGTGGTTCTCTGCTTTTATATTATTCCTTATTGATGATATGTATGAACCCTATCCTGAGTCAAGAGTAATTGACCTATGTGGATTGTACGACTATCTATCTCTAATATACAAATAACATACCTCAATGTTTATTGTAGCATTTGCTACCCTCCTTGAGGTTGTATAATTGAAACACCTTTGAAATCCATCTGTGCACTATTTCTATTTCTATGAGTGGTTAAATAATTGAAGCAATCATTTGATGAGTTTTGGGCTGCTGCTTTTGGTTTTCTGTGTTTTGTTTTTGTAAGGATTCCATTAACACTAGGTACTCTACCAGATGATGATGGTTCTTTGCCTTCATAGGCACATAGATACGATGTTCTACTCACCTCACACGATTATACTCACCTCATAATGAGCGAATGTTGTAAAAATAAGGAGGGCAAGCTTGATGGCTAATTGTGCATTGTGCTGAAGTGCTGTGCCCATCATTCCATGAATGTTGAGTGTTCATTGATGAAGGTTGCACCATCTTCAGATAGACATCTAGATAGTACAGCCCATAGATTAATTTCCAGCCACATGAAAGAGTCTCATGTCATGTTAATATGCAGCTGTTTTTGACTCAATTGCCTAGCCTGCTGGGCACGTTAATTTCAAAATTTCTCTCCAAAATATTGGTTAACCTGTTCTATGCCAATTTCTTTTCTTTTTTTTCCAATTTCTTGATATGACAGTTTGCCACTGACCTATCTTGATACTTCCAGTGCATGTCCCTTATATTTAACAAAATATCATCACTAAAAAGACCACACTAGAATCTTTGTGATCATTTCCATAGCCAAGATTGTGTATCTTCATGTATTCTGCTTCAACAATGTCATGATATCTCCCCTCCATGTCTGAAGCAGTGTGACGTCAACCACTTGTTATCCAGGAAGGGTATAAATTCTGTGATTATTTCATTATGACAGATCAACACCCATTATATCTGCCCACCCTCCTCCCCACTTTGAGTAGTTTTGTAACAAAAATTTCCTGGCAAAGGACTTGGCAGCAAGTATAGTCAGAGGACAGTCATGTCAACCCACATAACATTCCTAAAAGATGGAAACTGGGTGCCAAATGTACATAAAATAGCCCCACATCATGGCTTCAAACATTACATATGATCACAAGTGAAACCGTATTTTGACAAGTGAAACCTGTTGTCTAAGCATATGGATTTGAATCCATCCTTGGAGGTCAGATTGCCCTGAGCTACATGTATATTCTGTACTTAGTCTCACTAGTCACAGCCATGTTCACTAGTTTAATTTTTGACTGAATATTTATGTCATCCCTGTTTGCTAAGGGAAAACTTACTGGGAGCAGAAGACTCCTAGCAACATAATCCCAAGGGTTACTAGATTATGCAAGACTTAGAACCATTTCTAAGCTTGATCAGAGAGGACTGCCTGCACATAGACAGCACTTGTCATCCTGAGACTCAGAGAAAATAACATTTTTCTTCCTTGAGGATATCTATCTTTGGTAATACTGACTGTGAAAAGGAAGCATCTTTGGTAAAAGTCAATGCTATTTCAGACATTTCAAAAACTTTTTTTGAAAGAAAAATGGAATTACAATTAGTACCTAAACAAATAACATATTAACAGCTCAGACTGTTTAAACTCTTTATTTTGAAATAATTTCAGGGATACAGAAAAGTTGCAGAAGTGCTGCAAGGATTGGGGTCCCTGGGTGACTGAGTCAGTTAAGTGGCTGATTCTTGATTTCATGATCTCAGAGTCCTGGGATCAAATCCCATGTTGGGCTCCTTGAGATCAGTGGGGAGTCTGCTTGAGGATTCTCTCTCTCCCTCTGCCCCCCTCCCGCCACCATCTGTCTCTCTCTAAAATAAATTTTAAAAATAAATATAAAATTAAAATAAATAAGATAGAACAAGGAGTTCCTGCATACCCGTCACCTGGCTTCTGGTAATGTCAACAACTTACTTACCTTAGCACAGTTATCAAAACCAGGAAATTAACTGTAGTACAATATTATTAACTAAACTAGAGGCCTTATTTGAATTTCCCCAAATTTTCCCTGATGTCCTTTCTCTGTTCCAGGATCCAGTCCAGGATCCCACGGATTGCACTTACTTGTCATATCTCCTTCATCCCCTCCACTCTGTGACAGTTCCTCAGTCTTTCCTTATCTTTCATGACCTTGGCACATTGGATGAGTACTGCTCAGTTATTTTGT